CAAATAGTTTTAATCTTTGTTTTAACACAAATTACAATAAATAAGTAGTCACGTAACACGGTGAGCATAAACGCATTTTATTAGGTAGGTAGTTAATAATTAAACAAGATTTTTATATAATCTTTGTAATTTCAACGATAACCTGGCTGTTTATTCTGTTTGTTTTGAAACAGTCATAACGTTTATAGAGGCTCAGCTATCTAACATTAAATTGCGCATTTAATTTAAGCATATTTTATTCAGCTATAGATAGTTAATTACTACTGCCTTAAATATGTGCGTAGGTAAGTACTGTAAGTAAATACTTTTCTACATGTAGGTATCATGAGTATTCTATTCTATACTACATTTATTTATAATAAATAAATAAACAAATAGTAAATTACCAATGTTATTATCTAGAAATAAGTGCACGCGTCTGACCATTACTTTATCAGAGATAGTAACATTGAAATATTAACTCATGATATTGCACTTTGATAAAGAAGTGAGATGATATCAAAAATATTACAGGGTCGTTTTGAAGAGCTCGTGCATTTTCATAGCAAATGATTATTTGCAAAGCTAATATAATGTTTTTTTAAGTGGGGAAAATCATCGAATGACTGCTCCCGCCTGAGTGAGGCGGGAGGGAGTGTCAGACTCTTACTGACTAAAAACCACCCCGTTCCTTCTCCTGCACGTCGAGCCGGAGGCCCGGTTACCCGTTAGGTTCTCCGCGGCTAAGCTAACCTACCGACCTATAATATTAACCTTACCTATTATAGGTTTAAAATGAAACGAATAAAATGTCTAAAATGCCTCTAAGTAATCACCAACTAATTTAAAATTGACTAAAGAACTCTTCGATCAACAATAACAAGTTGCTATTGTTGATCGAAGGAAGAACTAACTAAACAATTAGTTGTTTGGTTAACTGTTAACAGCTTCAAATGTTTATAATGATATGATAAGACATAAAACGACAGTGGCGCCAACTACTTGGCAACAATTATACAAAAATTTAAAAATATTTACTCACTGTACATTTTCTATCTTCGTTTCTCTTCCAATGCTGCTTGTTCCTCTTGGTTTGGGCTGAAGGCACCAAGTTGGTGTAGGGCTTCGTTGTCGGATTAAGCCTTAGGAGGTTCTGAAATCATTAAAGAAATCAGTCTATTGCCTATCTTCACAATATCTCTCGATATTAGGTATGTATATTTTGTATTTAGTTTTTTTTTCAAAGAAGTGTTTTTTTACAGGTAAAGGTATTTTTTTTTACTGTAGGTACATAACCTACAGTAAAAAATTTCATATGCTTTAGGTACCAAAAATTTTGCATAAATTTTTTTGCTAAATTTTTTTTACACATTTGAAATTTTTGCTAAATTTTTGGTCCTTATAATCATATCAGACTGCCTCGTTGGCGGAGTGATCGCGAGTGCGACTGCCGAGCAAGGGGTCTCGAGTTCAATTCCCGGGTCGGACAAAGTATTACTGGGTTTAAAAAAATTCTCAGTGGTAGCACGGAGTTGGGAATTCTGCCCGGTATATGACAATAAGCGCACCCCCTATTACATGGGACTCATAACATATATAGTGAAAAGTTGGTGTTACACTGTACCCCTACGGGGATAAAAGGCGTGATGCTATGTTATGTTATGTAATCATATCAGCAGTTGGATATTCCTAATATTATGAATGATACAATATAACCTTGGTAGACATGTAAATGCGTATATATTTGAGAATATTTCTCACACATCAATGATAGCCTTTCGACATTAACACAATAACAAATGAATCGCGTTATCATTGTCTCGTGTTTGATACGAAATAAACATCTAAAAATATGAAACTGTCTTTATTGTTGGTAGTTGGGGCACATTAAGTAACATTTTTAAGTTTATGTTAACAATAGTTATAAACGCGAAAACTACTGAAAGGATTTGAATGAGATCTTATAAAGTTAATAGATCAAGATTGTATTATAACATCCAATCATGATATGTTAGTGTGTAGTGAATGAAATGAAAGAAGTGTGTAGTGTTAGTGTAACTACTTACAACCGGAGAGTACCTTCACCTACTTTTCAATATTTTGTATGTTGCGTTTTGATCTTTCGTCACTATTTTCCCCCACGCAACAAAGATGAACATAATTTGATTTCTTTAAAATAAACTGACTATTAGTAGGTAGTTAGGTACCTATGCCACATAGAACGAAAGTCCTGTTCTGCGCTGACTACTCCCTTTCTGTCCTTTAGCGTGATACTGCATTCTAACGATGTAGTAAATCAATTAGCAAAAAATTGGCGTACCCATGTTTGTAAGTCGATAACTCATTACATTAATAAGTGGACAATGAGCAACGCGCCAATGCTGTTCGTCATTTCCTCGTACTATTCATGACAGTAAAACTGCAAGTTCCGCCATGAGTTACGTACAATTAAAACGTTAGTAAAATGTTATTACTGTTCTAAGTCGTAACCGACTCAGGAACGTATTATAAAACTATCGTAGAGAAAGTCTATGAAGTTTCGTTATGCTATATCTAAAACTGTTCCTAAATAATTTGGCCTCGGCGGCAACTAAAAATTTGAACGTAATATTGAACGTGTACTTTGTATTGTGAATTAAAACTTGTCACACAAGTTTGTATTCATTTATTTATGCACTCGGCTAAGTGCCTACCTGCGTACGATTCTTTGTGTAGGTGGAATTCGTTATTTGTGTTTGGTACAAAAGCAACGTAGAAAAGACAAAGAATATGTGTATTTTATTTACGATATTTAACTAACCAGTTGTTTTTGTGTAACAAAATGTATGGGTAAATGGGTTGTAAACCAAATAGAACGAACGATACGTTTACTTTAGCGATGAGATAACTATGACACAATATCGATACGAACATTTATAACAGTTTATCCTCGGACAAAAGATAAAAAAAAAAAACGAAATAACACCAACCTCAATATCAGGCAACTCCTTACTCAGAAGCACTTTCGACATTTTGCCAATTTTAACTTTATTTTTTCAGTTGTAAAGTTAAATTTTGGGTAACACGATTATTTTCCTTGATTTTATTTTTTTCCAAGAAATAGACGCACGGGGACTGCTCACTGGCAGCGCCACTCAAGCGACTGATTACAAAACGTATGTGTATTACTATCTTTACACACAACCAGTTTACATTGAACTCTGTTTTTCTCTTCTGACGTGTTTACTCGTCTTGCATTGAGAGTGGAGGGGAAGGTCAAATAACAGTGGTGACACAAAGTTAGAATATAGAGCTAATATTTATTTAATCATTAGTGATTTTTCATAGCGATAGTCTTTCTTTCTAGACATTAGCACGTGCCCATGTGCATTCATTTGTTATAGTAGGTTAATTGCTTCTAATAAATAAAATATGATGCGCAGGAGTACCTACTTTAGCTAAATATGCAGAGACCTTGAAACACAGCTGTTGATGTTGAATGCAACTTGTGAACTTTGTACTTCATTGTTTAATCATCTGTTTTTGATGCAACACACGAAAATCACGGGGACGTCACGCACTGATGTTGTAATTTTATGATCAACACATTACAATGCAGGTAGTTATTTATTTTACACATGATGTGCAACTCTCCTCTATAGAGCACTCTTTTTTAAGTAACCAACTTCCCAAAAAGGAGGAGGTTCTTAATTCGGCTGGTATGTTTTTTCTTTTTAATAGATTTTTTTAAGGGGGGAAAATCACCTGGGTGAGGCGGGAGGGAGTGTCAGACTCTTACTGACTAAAAACCACCCCGTTCCTTCTCCCGCTCGTCGAGCCGGAGCCCCGGTTACCCGTTAAGTTCTCCGCGACTTCTTTTTAAAGGATAGAGGAATGATGTCGTGGGGTCTGTTAAGAAGGATGTAGAATTGTTGAGTTGAGTTGAGTTGTCGAAAAGAACGACAGAAACAATACTTATTATTAGCAGTGGGTAGTGTATGATCCTGAGCTGAAACGATAAGATGGTGATTTAAAAATTAAGTTTAATAATCGTGTAAATATATTGCGACGCACTGAATTCAGCGTAGGACTCGCCAGTGTAAACAGCCAGACAAGATTATTATATCAAATCGATTGATATGAACTTTAACAAAAAGGATATAGGCATCCGGCACCACAAAGTACTATCTTGAAAGAAATCTTATTTAATCGTCCCCCAGCAACAGCAAATATAATTTAAGAATCTTTGTTTTTATCTCTATTCCACGTTTAAAGTACAATATTTCATTTCCTCTGGGTTTTCACGATATCTGTTACCAAGGTTACGTAATTATTATCTTTCTATTATTATTTGTAATTATGACGAAAACTTTTATCGATATAACTATTGTTATTGCTGTATAAGGTCAGCTATATTTACTTGATATAATGTAGATACTAAGATCATGTTTATCCTCACGTATTGTAAATTAAAGTCCCCCGCTGCGTCTGTTTGCGATAAACTCAGAAACTGCTGAATGAATTTTGATGATGATTTTACCAATGGATTTAGTTATTTTAAGGTGCTCCCTCACCGGGAGTATTCGCGTGTAATGTAACGTTACAGATCTGAACATTACATTAGTGAAGGAGGAGAACCGAGCATTACAATGCGCACCTTGTAATGATACAATGTGTAATATCTTGATACAACTTGTAACATCAATGTCTGACATCTTGCTATGAAATGCTCTAGCCGAATCTATATGTTACATTACACGCAAATGCTCGTTAGTCGGGGAGGTATTGATGTAATGTAATGCTCAAAGTCGAATCTATAATATTACATTACACGTGAATGCTCTTTATGAGGGAGCACTTTTAGAGGTAAGTGTGTTTGTAATGATTCGGGAATATTTACGTCCTGTAGGTGAAGTTGTAAGTAAAAGCTATAAAGTAAGGAAAATATTTTGATGAAACTTAATTCGAAAATGTTTCACAATCAACAAGTAGGATTTGACACAATAATAAACAGGATAAATACATAAATAAAACAAATAATATGAACAGTTAATATAAATATATTTTGAATTATTCAGAGGCTTTACAATATTTGGAAGAATTACTCGACAGCGTTATCTAACTATCAATACAATCGAATTATAGACACAGCGCATATCTATACATATACAAATTTGTATAAAAATAATATTATACAAGCTGGTAGTATGAAAAGCTAATGCAGTACATGGCAAAGTGACTACATACCAACAAATATTTCTAACAAGGTGACAACTCAACATCGATACAAATAAACGCGTCTAACATACATAAGAAAAATTTGGACTAACAGACATACTAAACAATACTTTAATATAGTCGTCTCAAGGTATATTTTAGATTACACGTATATATCGGCTATATAACGCCTCCACTCTTTACCCGTTGAAAAAATATTGCTAAATACTTTGTTTTCTTCACAAAATAATGTTATTATCGTATTTGTTTCAGTTTAAAAATATTTGTTTGTTTATCTCGTTCCGTCGCTGCCTCGACACATCTCTTATAATGTTGGCCTATTATTAAAATTATATACTTTATACCTAGACATAATATAGTTAGTCCATTCAACCATAAACGTATTACGATACGAGAATACATAAAACCTACTTAGTAAAATTAATTTTGAATTAGCGTTAAAATGTTCATAGGTACATTATGAAAAAAAAATGGATCTAGTATAAAAATGTCACACCAAATTAAATGGCGTGTTTTTATTTTTGTATTTAATACTAAATTACCGTTATTTACATGCTGATTCTTCTAAATATTTGCATCTGAACAATACATACATTAAAATCTTACGGCTAGGGATGTTCTGTGCAATTGTTCGAGCTTTTTAAATTTGGAAAAGAACGAAACAATAGTTATTTGAAGTTTTAAAAGAATCTGTATGGCATCGAGACATACGGCGTGCCGCGTCGGTGTCAAGCAACAACAATTGCACACTTAAACACAAACTTACGTGTACTGTTTCACTTACTATAAACATTTATATTTTAGGAGTGGATTTAGACAGTAATTAACTTAGTGCCATTTTATTTACTAAAAAAAAAAACGATCTGTAGACTCTACGATAGTGAAGTTAGGCGTATAAGGTAAAAAAAGCATCTCAACTAGAGGCCGAGTAAAATGTCTAGACAGTCAATTAGAGCCTAAACCCGTTTATCACATTTTCAGCGAAAAATGCCTCCCGTGACAGTAACGCGACCGAGTCGGGGAGGTCGGCGAGCGAGACGTTCGTACTACGGTAGACTGACCATCGCGACCCGGTCGGGTAATGCTAAAAGTAGTTGTGCGGTTTCATTAGCCGTAGAAGACTAAACGTTTGCGATACAATCTTGTTGCTTACTGAGAACTGCGCTAAGGACCATAGTTCTACGATTTACATTTGAAAGAATAGTCCACATTATGTTCTATCAGATAAGGTCTAAAATCGCAAATCTATGGCCACTAGCGTCACAATGACGTCACAATAGCATAGCTACACTTTACCAACGATATGTATCTAAGTATTGACCATTCACGCGGCGCTTTTACTCTCAAGCTTTTAGCCAATTTAGAGAAAGAAATCGCAACATTGCAATATACGGCTTCAAACGTCCACGTTAGGATCAAATTTGAATATTGATGTTTAGATAAAATGTAACAGCTATTTATTATTTGCTAGATGGCGTATTGGTCGAATATTTCCTAGTTGACTCCAATGAAAGCAGACTTCAGTAGTTAATTGAATATTATTAAATGTTACTATTGAATTAGTAAATGCAGGATTGTGTGCTCGGGTATACGTTTTGTACAGTACAGTGGGTTCCCTTATTTAAGACATTATAACCTACGAATCACATCGAAGTCAATTTATACCGGAAACTGCGTAATATATTAACGAAATACAGTTTACATCATACAAAGGTACATATAACGTTTTAATTAATTAAATATACAATGATACGAAACTTTAATGATTAAACATTTTCTTACGAACGAATGCTGTACTTATTACGCCACTAGTTTTAGCCGATAACTCGTACACAAATTGAACCTTAACAGCAGGAAATAAGGACGAAAATGTATACGAGTTTGCTTCGACCGCAAAACATTGATACAACAATGTGGAAACAAATAAAAAGCAATAATAAATCGAAAAATATAATCTCTGGCAAACACAAATTTCAACAATTCCATTTTTTAAACAACCGTATAGAAGCGGCAAAGTATTTTTGTACCCGAATATCATAGATGTAGGAATGTAATAACATTTTCGTTACAGCAACGGTCAGGTTTATGATAAAGCACCCAGACATGAGTTATACTCGGATAGGACCTTACAGCCACTGACAGACGGTGGTATGATTACTTTGTGAAACAATATACAATAAAAGTACCCAATGGCGAACAGTGGCTAGAGGTAGAAATTCACGACAGTATTACCGATACAAAAATTTAAAAAAAGAATCCATAGACAACTGCGAACGAGTAGGCAAAGGACACACTTTGTACAGCCTAAAACTGCCAGTGACGGGGATATCCGGTCGATATAAAAAGCGTTATACATAGTACGGAGCTCACTCACACCAACCCACGTTACATAATTATAATAATGCGTACTTTAACAGTAGAAATTAACATCTATGTATGCATTTATTGCAGTCCATTTGATTACAGCGCTCGTGTTTAGCACATTGATTCTGATGTTGGTGCTCTATTGTAAGCTATGCTGTAAACACTGGCATCCACGTCTGTACTACGCTATCTGTGGACAAACATATTACTCAATTAATTACACGATATTTCAGGTGGAAGGGGTAGGTACTAGTATAATAAATATTTGATTTTCGGAGGTGGATTATTAAATTTAACTGTTTAGAATACGGAAAAATATATGTTTTTATTGAGCAAGACTTTTACACACAACATTCAGTCATAGACAAAACTCGGGAGAGCGAATAAAAAATGTTGCCAGCATTTTAATGTCCGTCTGGTAGATTGTTATAAATCATTAGACACGTATTTTTAATTTTCTTACAGAAACGCATACTTTCGACGATATATTGATTTGAAATGTCGCGTGACGTCACTTCTATGTACATTTTATACGTATGACGTTTTAGCCCCCACTCCCAAACTTTGATTCGTTTTATTTAAGTATTGTTTGCATATACAAAATAAAAAAATACGTGTCTAATATTTTTTCATTATCTAACTGACGGACTAATTAAATTTTTAATTGTCATACCCTGTCATCGTCCCAATTATGACCAACAGAACAAAATAAAGGCTGCATTCTCAAATACCAACATAAATAACAAATTACTATTGACCATTAAAACTAATATCTTTAAAGTCAATAATCAAAACGTCCATAAATTATTTGTTTACTATCACTTTTAGATAATGATATACAATCATATATCGACATTTCAAGGCTAAAACTGAAACACCCTGACTGTCACTGTTATTAACCCTTAATGGACAAACTTTGAAATCGATCCACATACGTATAGTCAATATTAAAATGGTTGTTCATCTCAAGGTTTTATGGTAGGTTTTAAAGGAAGGTGAAATAAGTGAAGTACTACGATGTGACAAATAGATATTTTTTATTTACCTTATCTGCGAGTGAAAGACGATCCTTAGAGCAGTCTACACTTCCGCCTCGGCTTGATGGGCTGCACGGGACAGAGCACGGCGCGGATGGCCTCGTCGAACACCGTCTTCAGCCCCTTCTGTGTCAGCGCCGAGCATTCCAGGTACTTCACTGCGCTGATCTCTTTAGACATGCCCAGACCCTGGAATTGTATAATTATTGGGTTATTATTAGGTGATCAGATAAAGGAAGAAGAATCACAGTTTATTTGTACTCAATACAATAACTAAATATACAGATAAAAGGCTAGTCGTCAGTTTAATGCTGTACCCTGCTATTGAAGAGCAATGGCGTGCTATTGCAGGGTTACGACCAGTACTTTCAATCAACCGATTGCAGCACATTCTACTTCTTTTGGCAGCCAATCGACATCAATCCATTCTGATATCATATTTTAAAATCAAGTTTTCTTTGTTAATATAGAGTAGAATTCGAAACAAAGTTAAAAAAGTCACCATTAGAAAGTTTAATTTTACATAGACCATTTTAATCTCGATATTCCTACACTGTAGCAATAGAAGTTAAGTACAATATACATAATGTAAACCACAATACAATAAAAATAAGTTTCACATTAGCATGATAACAACATGAGCTAACATTTGTAATATCCTGGGGGCGACAGGTACTTCCCACCTCGTTACACGAGGGGCGGTGCGAAAATATATCAAGTGTCATATAAATAGAGCTCTGTTTACTTTGGCACTATTACGAGTGTTACTAGTTGTTTACTATGATGATATGTTTTGGTTCGAAATATCAAAACATACAATCATGCTTTCATAAGACCAATGTCAAATATTTTACACATGAAGTAAGCATCGGATTGTATAAACCTACCAACGGCAAGTACCAATGTGACTTTTTCCGAGTTATATGTACTTTCTAAGATTATCTAGACACCACTGACAAACGGTGAGAGAAAACATCGTGAGGAAATCTGGGCTTATTATTTTAACTATAAGTTTGTTATCGCCAACCCGCATTGTGCAAGCGTGGTGATTAATATTCAAACCTCCGTGTGAGAAGAGGCTCAGCAGTGTATTTATAGGCTGTTGAAGATGATAACTTTTCGAAAAAGTTAAGTATCTAATTAAAATAGTAATAAAAGTTTTAAGGTGTCTGTCTAGTATACCTGTGTGTAGGTGATGGGAGCGAGTTTCTTGTCCTTCAGCTTCTCAATGGTGTCCTTGTCTTCGCGAAGATCCAGCTTGGTGCCGACCAGGATGATGGGCGTCGACGGGCAGTGATGCCGGACTTCGGGGAACCACTGTAATGTACAATTATAACGTTGATTACACATATAAACCAACATTTTATTGTAATGATTTCCTTATTGTAACAAAATTCAATTAAAGTATTGTCCCTATTTTTTTATGGGGCAAGCCTGCCGCAATCTCCCTAAACCGCTGCAACTCCTGTAAGCCTGGAGCTACAGTAGATACAACCATGAAAACACCTAAACACTGAAGCCCGGTGCGTCCCAGGGACATAATAACTTTAATGGTTCCCGCAACGAAATGAATCAGAAGATATTATAAGAGAACAAAAAAAAACTATAGTTTCTACTTCCCTCGGCGAATTACTGCAGGACATATAATGAATTAAGGCTAAAGGCACAAAAAGAGACTGTATAAGTGGAAGAAGCCTAGTCGACAAGCACCACAGAAATTTGGCTTATAACTAAGTAGGTCCTATGATAGGTATGGCAAAAGCGCATATTGCCTATTATGTCATGTTTTCATACGACTTAGTTCAGTTTTGATCTAAAAGCTAATAGATTTATCCCCCTACTGCAATGGACTTGGGGTATTCCCTCCTATTAGAGGTCACATTCCGTATAAAACCGTATTAAGATTTTGTTTCAGTATATGACCAAAACGTAGAAATCTGAAAGTATCTAAACATTATTCACAACAATATTACGAACGCTAAATTTCATCGTAATCATAAATGGGTTATGTTGGCACTCAGGTGTTTCATGGAAAGGATTATTGCATTAAGTAGAGAACAAAAAAACTACATCGAGGACGCATGCAGCTGCTTTGTGAGCTGTTATCAATGCGCTGATTCGTCCACTTCCTAATTCAGCACGTATGACGTGACCAATTCAGTTGTTCGGTAAACGGCTTTGATCAGTTATATTCTTTGTGATCCATTAGGGAGTCATATTACGTAACATTTATTTTTAAAGTTGCAAGACAATGATAGACTTGAGCATGTCCTACTACGATCATGGATTTCTTTTTCGCTGACATAACTGATCCTCAAGACTCAAGACGTCTGCCAAACGTAGGAATGGGAATTATTATAGCCAACTTCTTTATGAGACAGATACCTATTATAGAAGTGAACGTCTTCTAACTGATGATGAAGACGTTTTTTTCTTAATTCCATGACGTTCCACGTCGACTTAGTTCCTTTACTACATAAACTACTATAAATATCAACATAGGTTGCATTGTTATCTAGGTTCCACCATTATTGTTGTAAATGTTCAATATGTTCGTTAATATTAGGATAATAATGACAAGTTTTGTGGCAGCATAAAATTATTTGTTCCTAAGACCCACCTTAGCTCGCACGTTTTCGAATGATGCTGGGTTAACAAGCGAGAAGCATATAAGGAAGACGTCTGTCTGTGGGTAGGAGAGAGGTCGCAGTCTGTCGTAGTCTTCCTGTCCCGCCGTATCCCATAGTCCCAGGTTGATGGGTTTGCCGTCCACCATCACATTCGCTGAATAGTTGTCGAATCTGGAAATAAATTTAAGAAGATTTACAATAACTGGAGATTAATGATATTATCATGTCAGTGATTTACATGAGATTAGATAACTAATGGATCACCATCAAAAAATTGCGTTCCATAACAAGGGTGCTAAGTATAGGCCTATTGACGTAGTTAAACCGATAAAATTACCTAAAAGCTCTCATTAAAACAACATAAGTCATCGTAGCAATAAAATCAATTTACGATCAACAGTACTGAGAATCACAACATCCCAATAAAACTGAAGGTTGCCCAAGATATTAAATGTATGACGAAGTTAAATTCGACTGCGAAATAGGTCAAATAACTAATCAAGTATCTACGCAATACATAAACCTTGTGTAAATACATCTTTAGTTAAATTTTGTTTGAATTATATAACTTTCCTAAGGAAGGATGCAAAACTTTGCCTGTAATGTACTTATGAGTTTTAGATTGAAAATGTATGTATACTTACACTGTAGGTATGTACTCTCCTGGGAAGGCATTTGTGGTGTAACTGATTAGTAGACATGTTTTACCGACGGCTCTGCGAACAAAAAGGAAAAACATTATACATTGCTTCAAGCGACGAAAGTATTAATATTAAAGCCACAACTAACTTCTGAGGTCGACCCAATTTCATTGTGACAACCGTCATCATAAATCTCGCAAATAGGATGAGATTATGAAGAGAATAAAAGCCAACAAAAACTTTTTAAACGGAAATTGCAACCTCATTTCAAATCATAATGAGAGTTTTTAATCAGGCACACATTCCGCGTTCAAAATATTTTCATACATGGAACGTAGATAAACAATGCGTATTCTACTTTCAAATTAGTGAAATGTCTGTAGGTAATAGCCAGTATTTTCTTTTATCGTTTAAAAATAATAAGGCAGTGTGGCGCCTCACACTGACCCAAAGATTAAACAACACTCGAGCACGTTCTTGCGTGCTAAGGATGAAGGATGTGATAAGTTGAGTGGACACCACATGCCACTGCAAAAAATGCAAAAAGCCTTGGCATCAGCGCAGAATATTAAATTAAAAAGAATACTAAATCAAAAAGATTGATGTTCGAAAAGTTGCAGTTAGCTATTCGTGGTCTTAGAAAAATATACACACGGCAATGTTTACTTACACATGTTGTGCAAGAAAGCATAAGATTGGCGGTAAAAAGAGTAAACAAAAACAAACTTGCTTGCAGAAAAAACATTACAGAATACAGTTACCATAATCCAGATTAAAAAATACCGTACAATTTGCTGTACCGTTATAAATAGCCAACAGTGTTCTTGCCACCTACAAGTATACCCTCCATGCATGCATATAAATCCCGTGTTTAAAACAGCACATCGTTGTCCTCTATTCTCGGGCACGTCTAGAGGTCACAAGTGCACAACATAAATTGGTCGTGTTATAACGATCGCTAATATTCCGCCCTCGTATCGTGCCGAGTACGACATCCTGTCAGATATTCCTGGCTAGGGAATGTCGATGTCGATAAACTCGTTTTTGTTTTAATATGCAAGAACATTCGTAAATTGTAAGATTTGTATGTAGAACGTACTATGTTAGTGCAATTATTATCAAAAAATAAAAATTTCCCAGAAGAATGTTAATGACTTTTGCATTTACTACAATCTATGCTGTATAATATTATTATCATTATCACGATAGTCTCGTTTCTGAGTAATGTTATCTGCGTAATTTGTAAAAGCTCATAATTACCGTACCGTACCGTATTACGTACCGTATAAATATTGTTATCTCGTATACAACTACAGTATACAATGATAATTCGAAACATTATGAATCACTGTGTGTAACCAGTGCAAACCCTGACGAATGTAAAGAAGTAACGTCGACTGACCGACCATAACCCTCGACCCGGCGCGTACACATCTCTACAGCGATCGCTCTTCATTCCACAAATGAATCACGTTGCATAACAGGCTGCGGCTGCCTGGAGGAAATACTGAGTATGGGAACATCTGACCTGCAATTGTTAGTCATCGCCTAATAGAAGCAAAAATAATGCATCATATATTTAAGTACACTAAGTACTTTTTATACTTGTAACTAATCGTATGACTCATTAAACGTCGTGACAGCAGAATGATTTATTTTCTTCCTTAACGTTTTCTCAGAAGATTTGTATCAGTACTTGATAGACATTATCACAAGTCTATGGGGAGATATGACCCACATTGTTTTATTTATAGTTAACTGCGAAACATTTTGTCTATGATCAATAAATAAAATTGCTGACCTAATTGTGTACGTAAAGAAAAAAATATATACCTTTCCAGTTTTATTACAGTTCAATTATTAAAACAAATGATCGATCCTATCAAATAACTTGTTAATATTCCCTTGATTTTTAAGTAAACAATACCATGTTTGTTTACCGATTCTTTATCACAACAGGCATTAACACATAAAGGTATTACGTTTTAATTAAAACACCTAATTATGAAGACACAGAACGTTCCCAAAACATTACAAAGAACATGACGCCTCGATATCAAACAACTCGAGTCGATGCGTCAATAGCATAACGATTTGATAATATCGCTACGCTTCGTGACTGAATCATCGTCCATGACTCAAAGAAGGTCAAGAAAGCAAACATTATTCGGTAAATGTTTGGTCCGTCAAGATTTATTTCGTACAATATTTCCAGCAATAAAAGCCGTGGGACTTGTCGCCCCATGGGCATCGTTGTTTGTTTTCTCGCCTCAAGTGGGAAGGTTAGTGAAGTAACCATATCGTATTAATCTTTCCGGTGTCCAGGCCCGCTTTGTTTATAAATAAACAATAAAAACTTGACTGTGCGATATAAGGGGATATTTTAAAGACTTCGTATATCAATAACATTCCAAAATGAATGTTTGCAGTTACAATACCAGAGATAAATTGGAATATTTTCTTCCTCTGTTATTATAGGGACACAGATAATGTCACGAATCGTTTACAACACGTGTTCCACAATATCTGATGACATGTTAACCATGTGTGGATTGTAGAACTCGCTTAACTAACGCTTTAATTCGCCCAGGAGAGCATTTCCGTGTAATATAGCGTTTCGCGTATTTAGCATACAATTAGTCCGTAACTCCAGCTAAGGTCATTTCAAATACCCGGTTGCTAATGATACTACGCCAAGTAATTACGTGTAATACAGACAAAACACACCTTTAAGTAATAAATAATACTGCGGTAACCGCACAAAAGCAAGGAAGGAATAGAGCCTTCAAAACTTAACACAATTACCTGGAACACGGTAAAATTGTGAGGATATTTCTGTCAGAAAAATACCGAGTTTCATTACGGAATGAGGGCGCGTTACTACAGTTGAAGAGTAGGGCTGTCGCGAAATCAAAACACCGCGGGAGAGTAACTCGAATTTTATAAATAAACCAAGTAACTCACGACTGAGGAGTTATGGCTGTATAAATACATGAAGTCATTCATCGTAATAGCCGACTGAGAAAGAAATATACGAGTTTTATCTGTCTAGACGGGAATAATATTGAAGTTGTCATGTTTTCACTCACTGTATAGTGAATTAGTGATTGTAAATGAGTTTGAAGAATTGGATCGTTCAAAGATTTTATCTACTATTCAGGACAGGACACACTTGTAAGTGTTTTGAGAAACAAACAACAAATTGAATTTCAGGGAATTACAAACGATTACAGATTCTCCAGAATTTGTACGACATTCAAGAAATGTTTTAGCTATTTGCTGCAGCAATAAAGATGACGTTGAGATAGCCTTGGTTTTGTTTTTAAGTGTTTCCTAGTAAAAATACCAGTTGATCTACTGCATAGCATCACGGTAGATTTTCTATGAAAAATAGTTTACAATGTTGCATGAAGATGAAGAAAGATGATTATGAGACTAAACAAATAAACCTGCTTTATCCAATCGTGAACATGGCATCGATATCAGAACCTTACCTTATAACTTCGAAACTAATAAAGGCATTGGAGAATTCAATCCAACAAGTGTTGAATCTGTTCTGAGCTTTGTTATGATAACATCAACAGCGTGTTTTGACTAATCTCACGTCTCGTGGTTCAGATACACAGAATCCGTTACGAGTTTTTGTTCTCAAGTTTGTGTTTTGCGTCAAACTTCTAACATTTTATGTCGTATCTTCAACTTTGCGGTTTAAAGTTACCCTGTCAGATGAAATAGCTACCATAAAACGTATTTGCTACGTGGTGGATTTAGATTAACAGACGTTTCTATCTAAGATTTGACGCAGATCGGAACTAATATTTTCCTAAATAACAGTTTAACGGCCGAATACTTAAAGGCAATTTTAAGTCGCGCTTAACTGCTTGAATGCACCGATATGAGACACAATAGAAAATACATTGTGTCTCGCGTGGATCCAAGTTTAGAGCCACGACGGGTTAGGTATAGTTCTGTCACTAAAAATTCTTTGTAAAATTAGAGAGATGGCACGATATTTAAGTACCTACAACTTAAAATTGAAGTAACCTTTCAGTATTCAGGCGTTAACTTGGTTACAAAACGTGGTTTTATTTAAGAATAATTGTATTAGATTTAGTAGGATTTCCTGTTAAATAAATAATTAGGTCATAATAAATCTAGCGGAAAAACTGTATCAAAATTCGATAATATTGTACTTTTAGCTGGGCATGTATATCGGTTAATTAGTAATTTAACTAATTACTTTAATGGTTTTACTAATTTATTTTCTATTTATGTCCCGTGGTACAATTAACAGATGCATTACTTCCTTGAAAAAGAAAGAAATGCCGTGATGACGCACCGGCTAGATGCGAACACAGCTGACCCAAACGATCTTTGCTCTTTTATTTCCAAGACTAATGCATTTCGTTCAATTTGTTTACTCTTGCATCCTAGAACGGTTTATTTATTTGCTTTCTAAGAGTTGATTTCGGTAACTTTATTATCTTTACAAATAATCGTGGTTCAGAGGCGTTAGTACGAGTTTGATTTACGTTTAAAGTATTCGAAACGAGTATGCGTTCGGCACTCTGATTGGCCGGCACCAATGAACCAACCAATCACAGCGCCGAACGCGTACTCGTTACGATTACTTTAAACGTAAAACAAACTCGTACTAAGGCTTCAGGAAAATATACAAATGTACTCGGAATTTCGTGATTACCTCACCAGAAACACAGAATGTAACAATAATAATACACAGTAAATGATTACAGTTTCCTTTACAACAAGAGACGTGCATGTGAAACGAGTTATCGGATGTGACAGTCAATAAGTCCTTGCCTGACCCCATTCAATTTCTTTGTAAGTCAATGAACTACTGCTGCATGCATTCAAGCATTCCTATTTTATTATTAATATTTTTACAAGTGAGTTCATGAGTTGTACGCGTTTGAGAACACATGCAACATGCAATGGAGGTCAACGTCCTTTGCAGACGATTTGTTTATTCGGATTCGGTATCATACTGTATGTGCATGATAACTGTATAACCCATAGTTATTTGTAGAACAATTATAGGTTAATTTGACGTAAAA